AAGATGAAGGATCTTGGACAAGTGATACAATTTCGGGCATCAAAATTTCTAAAACTAGTGGGGATTATCATTTAAGTCAATCATATTATATCGAGAAGGTGATAAATAAGTTCAAACACTTAAACATAAAAGAATATAATACCCCTCTTAATCCAAATTCAAAACTAATAAAGAATTATGAAAGGGGCAATTGCTCAATTGGAGTATGCAAATGTTATAGGGAATCTATTGTATGCAGTTCAATGCACAAGACCGGACATAGAATTTGCAATTAGTAAGTTTAGTAGGTTTACTAGTAATTCGAGTAATGACCATTTGAAGAGTTCTTGGATATTTAAAGAAAAACAAGAACTTAGGTCTACAATACACTAAATTCCTGGCTGTATTGGAAGGATTTACATACGCTAGTTGGATATCTAGCACAGATGAAAATAAATCTACTTCAGGTTGGGTGTTTATTCTTGAAGAAGGAGCTGTTTCTTGGAAATCAAAGAAACAAACATATTTAACACACTCGACTATGAAATTTGAATTTGTAGCACTATTAGAAATCAAGAAAGAAGTTGAGTGGCTTAAAGATGTACTCTATGAGATACCTTTGGGACTAAAGATTACATCATCAATATCTATCGTGTGCGACAGTCAAGCGACATTAGCAAAAGCATACGATGATGTATACAACGGAAAAGTCTAGACATGAATCTTAGACATGACTACATAAGGAAATTAATCAAGGATGGAATAATTTCCCTAAACTATGTTAAGTCAATTGAAAATTTAGCAGATCCTTTAACTAAATTTATAAATAGAGATTTAGTGACGTCTACTTCGAGTAGAGTGGGGTTAAAACTCTTGAACTAAAGGTCCATCAATGATAGCAACCCTATTTGTCATTACTTATCAAGTAATCCACGGGTTCAAGGGGTAACAACAAATCATTCGATATATGGATAGTTTTAGCATTATATAATCCACAATATACCTATGAAATCTTTAAATAATGTTGATTGTTACTGAAATGAGGGCTGAGTTTTAAAGTTCTTTATAAAGTTCAGTACTAAGTCCAAGTATCTCTAAAAGTAACAAAGATACTGAAAGAAATTCACCTAAATGAACTTCGAAGTGTTGCCGCCTCAATAAAGAGTTAGAGTTTCTATCTTAGAAGTTTGTTGAAAAGGATGAGCGCAAGACCATGTTAGTGTTAAGAAAAATTGAGGAACTTGAGAACACGTAATACTCGTGTGTGTTCTTATCGGTATTGTCATATGGAATAATTGGTTCAAAACTTTCATGCTACCTTTAATTTCGACTTTATTTTGTTTGAATTACACTATGGTTAGATTCAAATCGAAAGATATATAATCTTTATGCATAAGTATTGTACATTTTTTAATATGAGATTTTATTAAAATTTGAACAAGTGGGGGATTGTTGAAAATATTGTTCAAAAGTTAATAAAATTGGTGTGGAATAAAAAATGGAACCTAAGGCCAAAAGGATGAACTATGCAACCGCATAGGCCACTATGGCATGTGGTTGCAGCCATATACCGAGACTAAAGGCTCCTTGACTGCATTAACTATGCGGTTGCATAGGTTTGGCCTATGCGATCGCATAGAGGAAGAAAATCGTTATTTTATGGCCGTTGCTATTTGAATTTTGGTGGCTTTTCATCTAATTTGGCACCATTTCATGGAAGACTATTGAAGCCTATATATATGTGATTAATTTTCAAAGGAAAAATAATGAATATCATTCTTGAAAACATTTTTATTCCACGCATCATTGAAATAATAAATTCCTTCATACATATTAAAAAAAAAAATCAATTTGTATTCTTCAAGTTTTGGAGGATTTTCACTAGTGTTTAAGTGTTAAATCCTTTACAGGGCTTGATTAATGTTGCAAACCATTTGTCATAATTTCTTTAAGTATCATTTTCAATCCGAGAGGGAGTAAATATAGTTTGAGGACAACGGTTTCGTGTTTAGGCCTTCTTTTTCATCTTTTCATTGATTTTTCTTTTTGTTTTCTCAAATTTTCTGGGTTTTTTTTCCTTGCTTTTATCTTCATTTCTCTTTGTGCACCTTATATATTTTCGAACAGGGCTTTCATAGGTTCAAAGTCACTTGTGAAAGTAGATTGTCACAATCCATAATCACGTTCTTTTGTGTTCAACAGAAAGTCTCATGTGTATAGTTTCTTACCCTCCAACTTAAACAAATTAATATGTGGTTATAAGTGATTAAAGCTATATGTCATCGGAATGTGTGTGGATAATATGCGAATAATAACCTCGGTTCCTATAAAATATGAATATAAAAAGTATGTTTGATCAATAAAATTATAATTTAAGATTTACCAAACATGCACTTAAATGAAAAAATTCTAATGAAAACATTAAAATACAAAATGCTAGTTTAACGACTCCAAACTATCATTTTATGGCTGTAATTCCTTTTATTCGGCATTTATAAATACATAAATATGCACATAAACACACATATTATTCAAGATCTACGTTGCATGGAAACTTTTAGAATTCTAGTGGTTTTGATTACACTTTATGAAAACTTTTGAAACATTTCCGTAACTCAAAAGTATATTTTGAGTAAAATTGAGATATTTTACGAAACTTTTGAATATAGGAATTACACTTCATCTATGAATTTGTTGTGAGTTTCAACTAAGAATTAACCTATTGTAGCCTTCAACTAGTATTAACAGAGTTGCAATATATCAATTCAAACATTAAAATTTTACGCAACTTTTGACTTAATTGGAGATAAATATTAAGTGTTTGATAATTTTGTCCTTAAACAATATGTCATGTGAAAGTAGCATGTAATTTTAATGATAATTTTAGTCACAATGCACTCAAATTCACATAATTAATAGCTTGGCGATCCAAAGTTCTTTAATGCTTGAGAACCGTTAATCATATGTACCACACGAAAAGTTGGGGAGTTCAATCCGATTTTTAGTAATTCCAAAATATTTCATGACGTATGTTTATGTATTCCATTTCAGGTTTTCAATTCCGTGCAACCTAGTTGAAGATGATAACAAAGATAAATTCAATAGATGCAGCCAGAAGAACAATGAGGCAAGGCAAGGGCTTTTTTTTTTTTTTAACTTCTGTCTTCTTTATTAAGTCAAAAATCTGTTTAGGTTCCAGGAAGAAGTAATTGATTGTAACCTTTACTCTATATATTAGTACGATCCATGTATGATCATATTTCCTTATTGGGCATTTGAATATTTGCTGTCGTTAGTGTATTAGACGCATGTAAATAATAATGATGATGATGATGATGATGATGATGATGATTTTTGAATATTTACTGTCGTTAGTGTATTACTGTCGTTAGTGTATTAGATTCATACAAGATTTCAACAAACCATCAAAATGCATGCTCTTTGACCACTCCAAATTAAACAAAAATCCAAATGTCTCTTCATAATGTTTTAATTGTTCAAAGCGAGTTTGAAGTGAAGATCGAGCTTGATCAATCATAAAGAGAAAATAATC